GAAACGAAATTTATTAAAATGTTAAAATGCACGGTCAACTTACAATTATCTAAGCTTTTCATAAAGAAATCACTGTTCCCCAAAAGGCTTCTAAAAGTCACTAACTGAAAGGGGAAAATAATTCTTCGCGTTTGCTGCCTCACTAACGATATGTGACAACCAGGAAGGATTCTATTTCAAAACCAGTAATAATGATTACAACTTCCCCTATAAACAAGTCACATTTTTCACAACTTCAAAATAGACTTTCATTGTGGTAACAATTAACAATAAAACAACAAAAGTTGTCATCCAACCGGATCACAATGTCCAGGGTTCAAGAAGGCTAAAAGGAACGACACTCTCATGATAACCATGCGGTTTCTGGACGCTCTACAGCAGTGCAAAACATGTTTAATAAGCGTGCAAAGTACAGTCCAAAAAGCAGGGAGGCCGACTTCGTTTAAACTCTAATCTGTTAAATTCACGACTTCGGTTCCTCTCTCTTGCGACCCCTCTCTTCCTGCCAAACCTTTCTTCGCCTCACAGAACGCCCAGAACCCCCTCCTGCCTTTTTTCCCCATCAGAGAGGACACAGTCTGGCAACTCGAGACCTCCTATAGGCTATACTTCCTTCTGTGAAGCCCTTTGGGTAGAACTGCTAATCCGTCTTATTAGTTAATGAGATAATGGTGGTTAACCGGAAAGCAATATTAACGCTAACTATCTAGGAAACTTCAACCAAAATTATGTTAGCCTTTTGGTTGGTTTTCCTGGCATGTAGAATTATGCACTGAGAATCTGGCAACATTTTGAGACCGAATTGAGAAATTCAGGAATGACTGATTATATCAGACCTGAACACAGAGCCTCCCTCATTAAGGTTTTCTTATTGTCTTAACATTTACACCAATACATATTATTAACTAGAAAGGAAAGGAAAGTTCTTTCCATATGCGACTGTAAAATTTAGAAGTGTGGAAACTGAGGGAACTGGAAATTGGGTAAGGAAGAAGCAGGCATGTGACTGAAAGCCACAGAGTCATAATGAACGTATGCTATATCACTGCATTAGACTAGTCCTACACACACTTACCAAGGTACACCCTGAATCCCATAGTACAACCTGCCTCCTGGTGAGGTGTGTCCTGGAAGGCTTGCCTCTTTTTTGTTTTGTTTTGTTTTGCTTTGCTTTGCTTTCATGAGAGCAATAACAAAGACAATATGGGGAATAGGTACCACCTGCCCAAGAATCACTGGACATCTTTAATATCTTTGGGAAGAAAGAAGGCACTTTGCAGCTTCTTTTTTCCATTCATCTGTCATAGTCGTAGAAAAACATAAAACCCTAAAAATAAAAAAGGAAGGTTCTCTATCAGCTAAGGTTTGCTGCAGCAAACAAGCAAGCAGCCTTCATTCAGGGATTGTCAAAAACTTTCCAGTGTGCCCACTGCAATGCGGATGCCAACCAACGAATCAAAGGCATTCAGCAACTAGACAAAGAGGGTCTGATGCCAACCTCGGTGCCACTGGCAACCATTATTGGCATCAAGCACAGTGTCTGCCTTTTTTTTTCCCCTCGCCTGGCACTTCACAAACAAAATGGCGGTTCTTGTAGCAATGAAACAGCCGAAGCGCAGCCCTCTGCATCAATAACGTCAAATGATTTTATGGATTTAAATGCAGTTACTCCCAAATGATGTGTACATTTTAGGTAAAATGGTATATAATTTTATAAACAACCACATTGAACATGACCCTTTGCTAATGTAAATAAACAGTAAAACGGAATACACTGCGGTCAACCCGGCTAAATGCACAGAAGAAGCAGAATAACAAAGAGATTTAGCTTTAAAGAAAATACGGCTTTGCGGCCATGTGATGCAAAAAACTAATGAACTCTCTATCAAAAATGATTTCAAAATGCATACATTTTCCCCAAAACCGTATCAGATGCAGATGTAGCACTATAGTTTGTGTCAAAGCACTAGTAACTCTTTCCACATTTCAGAAAAGATGAGGCAGCTGGACATGAAGAAAGGGGGGGGGGGCGTGTGGGTTGAACCAAAAGAGAAAGAGGGAAAAAGGAAGGCATAAGAAGTTGGTCAACAATGGAACTTTATTATGTTGGTCTTTATTTCATCCTCCTGAAGAGATGCAGTATGTGATCTTGTCTAAATAACCAAGAGGACTATTGACATTCCTAGATCTGGAAATTGTCAATATATTGTAACATCATTCCACACTGCAATGCGGATGCCAACTAACAAATCACAGGCATCCTGAGCTAAACAAAGAGGGTCTGATGCCAATCCTGGTGCCAGTGGCAACCATCTTTGGCATTTTCTCTGTTCTCTCTCATGTTTTCCTCCTGGCCATTTAGAAGTAAGGAGAGAGAGGGAAAAGGGGGGAAAAGGTAATTTTATTGCTCATTCTATTGCACATACCACATTTTTCTTTTCTGATTTTTCTTTCATGTTTTTCTTATATTCCTTTACTTGATTTATAAAACAGACGCTAGTGGTTTCCGCATACTTAGAAAAGAAATAAAAAGTCCTGATGAGAGATATGCAGCCCTCCTGATTGACTACAGACTTATCTTTTAAAACCTGCCTTCTCTAATCAATCGCACTGCAAAATGACATAATTAACCTATTCTTGACAAAGAAGGATATAAATTATGAAAAAGGGATAACACAAAAGCATCCTGATGTGACTTTTTCAAAGAAAAAGCCAACAGATGTTAACAGGAGATGATGCTCAGGCAGGTAGCGGAGAATTCAGATGAGCTACACAAGGTAAAATAATGAAAGGCTGTCACAATCGAGACTGGGGAAACAGCCACCACACAATCAAGGTTTTACCTGAAACATGGTCTCCTAGAGTTGCTTAAAACTTTATGCTTAACCTGACCAGTGGTGAACACAGAAAGCATTTATGTGTTTTTCTTTCTTCAATCTATCTTCACAAATCCAAAGGATACATTCTTTATTGTCAGTTCATCAAAACCAAGGGAGTTGGCCACCTGCCCCAGGAGGGAATGTGCATGTGTGCACACCTCCAGGACTAGCCTTCGAGCAAGTTAAAATGTGAGCAGCAGTGAGGGAATCCCAAATCTTCCCCTCACCTGCACTAAAAGTTACATGACCCAGTTTTTAAAACTTTACTTCCACCCTTACCATCCACAACACAGCTATAACACATTCACAGTTAATCCAACACATACACACAGCCCACCTTAAAATGTCACCTCCGAGAGACAGCTGTCAATCAAATTAAGTGTCATGTGTTAATGAGCTTTTATTTTAGGACATACAGGGTGAAATATATTTTTCCTAAAATCATCATTACTGAGATTTTAATTCTTAAATGCATGAAAATTAGTAAATGCACTATTTTATATTTTTTATTTTTTGTTGTTGTTGTTGTTATTTGCCGTCGAGTCGGCCCCGACTCATAGCGACCCCTCCTTGGGTTTCCGAGGCAGTATCACTACGGAAGTAGGATTGCCCAACCTTCCTTCCGAGGAGTGGCTGGTGGGTTTGAACCGCCAGCCTTCTGGTTAGCAGTCAAGTGCCTTAGGGACTATGCTACCAGAGCTCCTATTTTTAGAGAGGCCAAATGTAGTATTTCCAAATGTGCCATGTCCAGCACTATTAATTAAAATCAAATTTAAAATGTTAAAATGGCATATGAAGCAGCTCTCTAAAACTGTCTCTAAGATATACACAAAAAGGCATATAATAAGCACCTAGAGTTCTAAGTCAAAGAGTAATTTTGATATTTTACTTTAAAAGATGATAATAAAGCTCATATCAATTTATTAAATCCCACATTTACATAACAAACATTCGATAAGCGTCTGCCACCTGGCTATATGCAGGCCATTTTCCCTTATGCCAGGCCAAGTTAGGAAATGACCCGCCAGCTGTGGCAGATCAAACTTCAGTCCACTTCTGCCATGCTGCTTTTAAAAAGATTGCTAATATAGAAACATCAATACGCTGATACCTTCTTTGGAAGAAAGGAAATTCCCGCCTACTTAAGGAAAATATATCAAGAAAAACAATTAAGCAAGAAAGATGTATTTCAAAAAATACTCAGCAAAAGTATTGCCTAGTTTTGAATTATTCAGGAAACATTTATATCACTCTCTTTATCGAGTATTTTAGAAAATAGGTATGGTATGCAGTTTCTGCATTCTTTTTGAGATTTATTTTAAACCAGTGTAAGCAGTCCACTTTCTGTTTTTGTTCTGTATTGCTGTTAGGAGAGTTGAGACTTTCCTCCTCGTAAGTTTTATGAATTTGCATTCAAATAAACTAACAATATTTACTGAGTGTTCCCAAGTCACTAGGGGAAAATATTACAACAGATTACTTAAAACTGGAACTAGAGTCCCTTTAATCTACACTGACTATTACACAAACAAAAGTAGGTGTGGACAGAAATATTAAAATTACACAAACGTAGGTCTACATAAGATACATTTTTTATACGGGCCATCTTAAACATTTTGCAACAGTGCCAATTCAGTTTCAGTGCAACAGTGTTAGATTCGTGGACAAAGTTACTCTACTTGGATAATCAAGAGACTAGTGCAAAAACTATTAAAGAACAGTTTGACTCTACAGGAAGAAACATACAGGTTCAAAATGGAAAAAGATGACTATGATAACAGAAATGTAGTCAAGGACAGAAAGTAAAGTGTGATTAGCTATATTTTTTTAGCCTACTGCGTGTCCAGGGTATCCTATCTCAAAGACACTCCAAACGCATTCTCATAGTGTTCTTTAAATATCCAAGCCTATCCAGGCATGGCAGACACATGTCTATTTACACGGCCTGCACATGGGCACATGGCAGTATACATGTGTGTGGAAGTGGGCACACTGTGCTACCCAGAGAGAGCAGAGAAGGTCTAAGGCCTCAAGGACTATCTAACCCAAGCCAGATAATCCATACATGGGGGTTTGTGGGCAGTGTTTGTCGTGCTAGAAGAAAGAACAATCTGCTCCTACCTTGCTCCTGCACGTAGTATGCCAAAAACAAATCAAGCTCCTTAACTGATACTGTGATATGATGTGGCTGGACACAAAGTGCTGGGTTTGTGCAATGTGGGGATTTCATTAGCCGCTCTCCATCGGTACTTTCCAAGGGGATGCCTTTGAACAGGATCACCATGACTAGATCCAGACGCCAGACTTTGTCTGCCTGTCGCAGGCAGTCGATTCTCCTAATCTTACCCTTCTGGTCGGGATTGGATAAGACACAGCACGGGTGCTTCTTGCCAGTCACGGTGAGCACAAAGTCCTCTCGATACTCCTGGCGGATATCTTTGCGCAGTTTGGCCAGGAGCCTGGATGCCCACTTCTGTTTGATTTCAGGCTTTTCGCTGAGAAGCTCATCTTTGACTGCTCTTTCTTCATCCTTTGACATCCGCTTCTCGTGTTTTTTAAAGTACTTGCGTTTCCGAGCCTGCAGGTTGAACCAAGTATAGGCGATTGCACGGACATGTGGAAGAAGTGCCTCGATGAATGGGTGAAATTCATCCTGTGGAAGATGGGGGTGGGGGGAAGACACACAGTTTAATTTTAAAAGCTCCAAAAGTAAGACCCCAATCCATTCCCAATTCAGTATAAAAAGTTACACATGAAAATAAGACATTGTTTTCTTATTTAGAATGATCAAAATAGCAGGACAAAACGAAAAAGTGTGCCATGCGGACCTTTTTCCACCAAAATTCACAGGTAGATTCTTCCTCCTAAAATCAAACTAAGGTTTAGATTCTGTAGTTCCACTCTCATCCCATCCCCCTTACTTCCACCCCAAAGCCATGCATTCTATACTCTTTTAAAAAAAAATACACCACCAAGGTTCTTGACACCTAATTTAATATTTAAATATTTTGTTGAACAACTAACACTAAGCAGTACCATTGTACAAGGAACACTGTGAGATTTTTTTTTTTTTTTTAAATCAGAGCAGAGCTGTTCAGAAGGCAGGAGCGATGCCACAGTTCATTTCTCTTCTCTGTGGCACAGAAACACAAAGCATATAGATGCTCAGTGTAATGCCACACAGTTCCCGCTTTGGAGCATGCTCTCAGCAAGAGGCTGCTGGTGGCACAAAGAGCATGCGCCATTAAACTTGATCCATTTTCTTATCAAACGTCCAACATTCCAACACTGAAACAGCACCATTCCAAGAGTGGTAACTAGAGAAACCGGTATACAGTGAGGGAAAGTGGGCAAAGGACACAGCTTGTCGTATCAGTGTCCTGAACAAAAGGTTTTCATACTTTGAGTAGGGCATTCTCTCTCCCCAACTCACACAACACACACACACACACACACACACACACACACCCCTGCATTTTTCAATGAAAATTCATAAAGTTGAAAACAAAAATTGCATGAGTGTTCCTCTGGCAGCTTTCCTGTAGAACCTGAAGCCCCAGAGTCTGTTAATTTGCTAACAGAACACAGGAGGATGGTAATTATTCGAAACCCCTTAAAAATCAATCTGAGGTGAACAATGCAAAATGGCAACTTGGCACCAACTTTACATTCTTTGTGTGTCTGCACGCTGTGGCAGGTCGACACCAGGGGAGCACTGCTGGTCAGTGGCTGCTTTTGTGGAATCATATAGTTCCTTTGGCACGTATGTGAATTCGGATGGGACCATGGGTGTGCTGCTGCATATACTTGCAAATCCACACATGTACGGATCATACAGTACCCTCCCTTTCATATTAGGCGATTTACCTTTAGGCTCCTGCATTTTTTCCTGCCTATTTCACCCACGAGTTTTTTGTTTTTTGTTTTTTTTAAAAAGGGGTATGGGAGATGGTGGTGAGCACTGGCAGATAATCTTTATCTAAAGATATTTCAAGCTACTTCCCAATATGGTCAGTGTTTCATTACTTCCTGCCTCAGGTAAAACCTATCTCATAAGCCCAGGCCTGTTACTGTTCAGAGAGAAAGCTTACCACACGGTGCATGCACATGGACGTGGATAATAATCCAAGATCTGAAGCAAATGAGAACTTCCACCAAAACCACTTTTCTGGTCACAGTGACTATACTGTCACCCCAACCACAAAATAACTATCTCTAACTGATCATATTCCAAGTTTGAATTTACATATTAGTCCCAGTCACTGTGAACCATGTGGGATGAATTCTATTTAACCAGCAGATTGATTAGTTCTACTAGGTAAAGATGACAAAAGTACAACTAAGGACACTCTAACAAAGAAGATCTCCAACAAATTCCATATAGTTATGAATCCCTTTTTAAGATGAGATTCAAAGTTCTAAGGCCACAGACTGATATGTTAGCAGTCTGCAGTTCAGCTACAGAAGAAGTGCATAGCCCATCCAATCAATAATGCAGTTATCAAGTGTTTTAACAGACTGCCATAAAAACCTGTCTTGTAGCAGAGTAAGTATGAATCAAAATTTTATAACAATACAGAATGCAGATGACTACATCACAGCATGAGGCATAACCAAATGCCATAGAGGAAATCATTAAACCGATCAGTAGTTTCCAGCAGAGATTTGAACAATTCGGTCACTATGCGAGCACATTAAAGTAGGCCATGGAAAGAGTTAAACCACAATCTGTTCTTTGTGTGGGAAGGCTGCCCTGCTCACAGCAACCACAGCCCATGATAAGACCTCCGTATCTCCATACACTTTCTGATGCCATGCTTTTAGCTTTCACTGTAACTACAAAAACTTGTTTATCCCCCTCCAAAACGTATGCAAAAGGAAAAGCTGCTCAAGGAAATATGGATTTAAACGTGCTTCGGGAACACACTTCCTATAATCTGACTTTTACTATCACCATTGGTATGATCTTAAAAGTACATATCATAAGCTTAAAACTGGAACACATAAGTCATACATAGAGGGAGAAAAGCTTTGTCTCACTCTTTTTATTCTTGCCATGCCTTTTAAAGGGCAGTATTATTTTAATAGATATTATGCAACGAGGTAACACTTAAGTACTTTCATCCTTAAGTACTATGTTCAGTGACATTTCACTTTCTTATAAAGACATCAAACAGTTTTGATTAAATTTGCTTGAGTTCCAATACTTGACCATAAACATCACCATTTATCATGTAACAGATCTCAAAATTTTAATAAATTATTTCAAATAATCAGAATGCAAATGTGAGGGCTGCATTTGGAATTTCCTAGCAAATGCCCACAAAATGATATTTACTAAGGATGCCTTAAGTTTGTTGTCAATGCTGCCAAAAAATATTTTTAAACATACTTTTCCTTTTTTCTTATTGATAAACAGAAGCAGCAAACTTTCTTAGGCTGCAAAGAAGCTTCAGCATCTTCCAAGGCTTCATTATTATGTGGATTCCTTTCAAGTGAAACACTTACTTAACAAGGGGACATATCCAAAAAAATTATTTCTAGTGGAAGTTTGCTATAAGTCACATATATTACTGTATTAACAAGCCTAAAATGTCATCTCCTAAATGTGATAGTTTTCTAATACTGAGTAATAATACATTTTCAATGATTCTGAACAACATACATATGGAGCAGGGTAACTGTCCTCACAAAAAAATTTAAAGCACATGAGATATCTAAGATCTAACGGCTCTATACTTAGGTAATATGCCACCTTATCTTTTAGAATTTTTGTTGAAATTCATTTGATTTCAGTAATTCTTTCCTCTATAAAACTTCCTTTAGTTGAACTAAGTAAATGATATAATAACAAAGTTACAAATTCCAAATGTAAAAGTAAACAGTCTTAATTCCACTAGGCATATTTATTTTTCTTCTCGGAAACAATGGTTTCTATGAAAGGGATGGAAAATTAGATCAATAAATACTAGATGTTCTAGGAGCATTGCTGTATTACAATAAACCATGAAAAAATGTACTCAAAGAACTGGAAAGACACTGATAGAAAATATATATATACTCAATCCTATATGCCAATTAATAGTTACATTGTTAATATAATTAATATAATTTGTAGGAAAAAAATGTTAAATCATATATGATAGCTGTTAATTTTCCGTTTACCTCTGTTTTATAGTTGCTATGTTTATTAGGAAACAATACTATACTATATATACCATTTTACTAAAAATAAGTTTAGCTGTAACTCCTTTTGACTTAAGATCACTTCTAAAACCTAGATACCTTACTGCAACAACTGAGATACTTTTTGAAGTTTTCAACCAATTAGAAATGTTAACTCTATTTTGTATTTACATGTCTTAAAAAACAAAAAAAGTCTTAACTATAGCTATCAGGCCCTTCCATCAGTGTACAGCAGGCTCTGGCACAAAACTAAAACTGTTCATGTTTCCTCACTTTCCCAACACCTTATAGTACCTATAAAATCACATAGAGATTAGGTAAATGAGAATTTTAAAGCTAAAATTCCTTCTGTAGTATAGGCCTGAAATCCCAAAAACTGCTTTAATATATCAACCCAGATTTACATTATTAAAATAGCAGAGTATTATTTATGCATTAGTGTTAGTAAGTATCCTTGAATAGTTACTGAATGATTATACTGTATGTGCTCTAATATTCCATATGTCAGGATGCTGCCATATTATATTTAAGTACCATAAATTAAGATAAAACTAGTAACTGAAAATGCAATGTAATCGCTAGCAATGTTCCTGAAAAACCAGTGACAGGAATATAAGATAATATAGAAAAGAAGACAATTATTCCATACTTTACAGGTGAGAGTAAGTTATGCAGTGCTTTGTAAGTGAATGCTTACTTCATTTTGTTCTATTTTAACTATGCTTCAATAATTATCCCAGTGTAAAAACAGTATTGAATGGAATTAGTTTACCAGAAAGTTTTTTAATCCTGCTGATGGGTAGTATTAAAGGTAAAAAGGCAATTCCTTATACCTGAAACATTTTCCTCCTCATAACTATTGGTCGCTATCATCTATAGCTTTTAAAATACAAATAGCTCAGCAACTCATTTTGCCAGTTTTGTTAAAGTGCACATTTACTTGCTGAAAATAGCCATATCTAAGTCAATCATATTCAGATGCCAAACAAAATATAAACAATAAAAAATGTGTCAGCCAAAAAGCTACAGGACTGTATCCAATCACTGAATAAGCCTTATCATTGTTTTCATCTTCATTCACAATTTATGAATGCCTCAGTCCTTTTGAATCACAATGGCTTCTAATTGTCGTACAACTGGAATCGTAATCATTTGTCTATTATAAAAATGCATCATCTTAATATTAGATTTTTCTTTTTCCTTTTAAACACACCCAAGACTAGCCGACACTTCGAAACCGTTTAGTTTTAATGCTAGTATATGGTTATCAATTACCAACTCGTGGCACTAAAATCTGAAGTGAACTGTCCCACATCTTCAGAGATTTAATATACTGCTTCAAATAACTTTTCTAGACTAAGATAGCTAAATTCATCAGTTAGTAGCTCAGTTAGCTGGGGAGCGATGAAAACTGCCCTCAGGTACGTCGGTTCGGTCTCCCTACTTTTCCTTTTGACTGTGTCCTTTAAAATGATATGAATTTGTATGTGTGTGTGTGTGTGTGTGTGTGTGTGTGTCTGCGTGTTACGTACGTGTAAAGCCAGTGTTTTATTTCATACCATTGTTCCTAAGGTTATTAGGACAATTTTCAAAGTTTTTTTTTTTTTTTTTTAAAGACAACTTTTCCAGCATTACTTTATGCCTTACATGCTATGCCCAAATAGCGTCAAACGAACAGGTCTCCACCAAATGATCGTGTCTGAAAGTGTTCAACATTCAGCATGCCCAACTAACTCGTGTCAACGTAAAGATTTTTGTGGTCGGTCACTGGAAACCCCAAGGTGCGGATCAGTGTGGACCAGAGTTCAGATCCCCCAATTAAGCAAAGGAATGGTTTCCCTCACAGTCAACTCCTCGCTTCGCCGCCCGCCCATCGCCTGCAGCGCCCACACGGACTCGTGCTATGGTCCCCTCGCCAAAGTTCACTGGATGTTTTTAAGACTGAGTTCCCTTAAAGCACTACTAATGCCGAGGTCCGCCTCCGCATGCCAGAGGCCGGGGAGGAAGACCGACACCCTGGGCGGGGGCGCCGCGCCGAGTGCCCGCACTTAGGGGTACCGGGCCCTGCCCATCCCGGCGGCCTCACTCCGCACCGCCGCTCTGGCAACGCGCGGGCGCCGCTCGCCGTGCCCAGGGCGCGGGGCTGGGTGCGCGCGGTGGCAGTGGGCGAGAGGCCGCATGCCGGGTCCCACGCCGCCCGCAAACCTCGCCGCCACTCCGGGCCACTTCTGCAAAGGACGTGGTTTGCGGAGGTTAAGTAAAGCCGTTAATTGTCCACAGGACGAAAGCAACAAAACAAAACAAAGGCATTGCGGGCTAGAGAGAAAGCTCGAGAGAGCGACCGCGAGATGTACCTGAGTGAGACAGATGGGAGAATACATCATGACTTCGCCTTACAACGCACTTTCCCGGAGATGCCCAAGAAAATCTTCGAGAAGCGAGAATTTCATCTATTCATTTTACAGTCATCTACGCCCCGCGATGCGATCAATCAGGACGGGGCTCTGCGCTGGCTCACCGCAACTTCACAACAAACCCAGTCCTCCTTAAATAGCCAAAGATTCAAGTTCACTCGGCGTGCTAGATTTCCCGGGGTGAAATCCAATCTACACTTTTAACCCTCTTGCTGTCCGAGCGCGCTGGCCGTGCTCTCCGAGGCCGCTGCCGCCGCCGCCGCCGCTGGTGTGGGCTGCTTTGCGCCTGGGTTTAGGGATTTGTTTTCTGTTTTGCAGTCGATGGTGGTGTGGGGGGCCAAGGGGTGCGCGGAGGTTCGGCGTGGGTTGGATAGGGGGTGGTGGTTGGTGGTGGAATGCTTTTTCAAAAAAGGCGGGGAGGGGGGCGCGGAAGGGAGGGAGAGAGGGAGAGCGAGGAGAATGTGTCACCGCGCTGGGAAAGTTCAAGGTTACAGCCTCGAGCACTGCGGCAGGATCCCCGAGTGGCGAACGCAGGCGAAACTTTGCCGTGAGCCGACCATGTGTGTGCGCAAGGGGGAGCGTGAGCGAGTGCGCGCGGGTGGGGGGTGCGCGCGGGAGAGGCCGCGTGGGGGCGGGGAGGGCGAGCTGCGAGAGGCCGGGGCGGGGGTGGGGGGGCCGCGAGCGCAGGGCTCGGGGCGGAAGAGGCTCGCGGCGCGCGGTCCCTAGTTGCAGCCGCGCCCGGCTGCCGGCCTCGCTGCTGACCCCGCCAAGCTAGGAGGCTGCTGCTGCTGCTGCCGCTGCCCAGAACCCAACGGGATCGCAACGCTCTCTTGAAAAAAATCCCAAACGATTACTCCCGCTCGCCCGCTCAGCTCCAAACTCCGCTTTTCTGCTCTGGGCGCTTTTTTCCCCCTCCCTCTCTCGCTTTCTTTCGTTGCAAAACTTGGAAGTTGGAAATTTCACCGGTTCCACCCTCTGGACCCCGCTCGAGCTCTCTCCAAATCAGACTTAAGGATTGTTTTATTATTTAATTACACAATCATCGCTTTACTCCTCCTCCTCCAGCAAACGCGCATTCCTTTTGCACCAGCCTCTCCACACCCCCCGCCCCCTACCTTCCTCCTCCTCCCGCTTCTTCCTCTCTCTCCCTGTCCCTCTCTCCCTTTCTGCCCCTCTCTCCCTTTCTCCCTCTCTCCCTCTCTAAAGGTCTCATACCGGTGCAGAACCTTGACTTTTTTTTCACAAACTCTATCTTCTGCCCGCCCTTTAGGCAAGCCCTCACTCTCCCCGCAACCCAACACACACATGACAACCCCCAAAAGCCTCCCTGTAAGGGGCATTTGGGGGCTCGCGATGGACTCTAAGCAGCGGGAACACCGAGTGGGAAAAGCACTGAACCGGTGTGGGCCCAAGAAAAGAACGAATGGAAAATTCCCTCACACACTGGCCGCCCCGGGCCCAGGCTGGGGAGCCGGCAGTCGCACCCCGAGCGGGCGCGGCCCGCCAAGCCCGAAGGGAGGAGGCGGAGGCCGCGGCGGCGGCAGAGCGAACTTGAACTCTAGTTGGGGCGCGCGGGCGTGGGGTCGCGACGCACAATCCCCCAACCCTCAGCCCGCGATCCCGGATACGGTGGGGGTAGGGGAGTCGTCCGGGGTCGCCACAGCGTAGGCCTACGCCCAGGGTAGCTCCGCCGAAGCGGCGCGTAGCGCTGCGCATTGGTTTGCCGCCCTCCGTGGGAGTGCCCCATGCACGTGGCCTCGCTCGGAGCGGGAGGACCGGGTCCGACCGCCACCGCCTTCCACTCCCTCCTCCTCCTCCTTTTCTTCCTCCTCCTCCTCCTCCCGCGCCTAGCTCCGCTCTCCTCCTCCTGCAGCCCCGCTGGCGCGCGCCCAATCTCCACCCCCAGGGGCCCGGGGCGCCGGCGGAAAGCAGCTCTCTCCCCGCCACGGTGTTGCAAGGCGGGGCCGCGCGCCCGGGGCTGCAGGGCGGGTGCGCGCGCGGGGTGCGTGTGCCGCTACAGCCCTCCCGAGGCGGCTGGCCGAAGCTTGGGCGCCCACACGTCCTCGCCGCGAGGGGCCGCCCCCCCCACACCGGCACCGGCTGCGGACCCCAGGGAATGAACTTGATTTCAAATCTTTAGAGAGAAGCTGTCTACCTGGCACCCTTTCTTCCCCGCATCCTCCACCCCCCACACACACACCAAACTCCCGTTTTCGGCCCCGGGTGGGTGAGGGGGTGTGCAGTGGCAGCCAAGGCTGCTCAGACAATGGAGAGAGGAAAAGTGAGCGCCAAGGGCTCCGCGTCCACCTCGAAGGCCAGCGGGAGAGGCTGGGACCTGGAAGGGGCCTGGCTTGCCCGGTCCCGGCTTCCAACTTCGCAGTGGGGTGCTTTCGAGAGGTTTTCCGTAGGTTCCCTTTTCCTCTTTCCTATTCTTCGTCTTGATTTCCCCTAAACTTTTTTTTTCTCTCTCCGTCTCCCCGCTTCTGCCCAGCGCCCCCCCCCCCCGCCCCCGGCGGACCTTAAGAAACCAGTGACTTTTTCCTTCACCAAGTGGGAGTTATCCACATCAAGCATTTCACAAGGACACATCAAGAAAAGTAGGCAGGTTCAAGTCAACCATGAAATGGTCACTTTTTAACCCCGTCCTGTCCTCATTAGGGAAATGCTCAAACACAGTCGGTTTTCAAAAGCGCTCTTAATGAGGCGAGCTTGCCAAGTCTACCAGCTGCAGCCCCCGTAAACCTAGAGCCCAGAGAAGAAAGGCCGGGGGCAAGGGCGGGGGGAGTTGAGGAGGCCAGCGAGTAGTGGACAAGGGATCTGGGAAGACAGGTAAAGTCCGGGAAATATTGAGAACGCCCCCAAGTTAACCCTTTGGGTCCCACACCTCCGGGGGCAGCCTGCTTGCTCCCCATCCACCCTACCCCCAGGCGAATGTTCCTGTCGTGGTTTAAACAACGTTGGTTTCCTTTGTGTGGGACATTTCTTCTTTTTGAAAAGCTGAGATAAAGTTGACAGTCTTTATAGATGAAAGAAATAAGGTGACAGTCGAGGTGAATCCAAATAAACACTCACTTCTCTCAGAAAATTTTGGGCCTAATCTTAGGTTTAAAAAAAAAAAAAAAATCCCCAAGCATCCCTCTGTATTGCACATTAGGCTGCATCCCTTTTCTCATGCCACACCAGATTTTGTATGTTGGCAGTGGGGAGCCCACCACTGATAATACCAGCTTAAACTACTGGAGTTTCCCTTTGAACAAATTTAACCGGAGTTAATTTACCATAAAAGACATTCCCCTTGGCATGAATGCACTCATGTCCTTGAACACACCTCTTTGAATGTCTGGACTCTTACAGAAGTCATTATTTCAGGATGTCTTTAAAAATCCAGTGCCCATCTCTCTCCTCTCCCTTGCTCCCTCCCTTTCCCCCCCACACCATCCTCAGTGAAATCCTGGCACCCAGAGAGCAAGCCTTTCAGCTGGAGATCCCAGAACCAGCCGCTGTCCCCTGGCAATGAGGCCCCAGTGCTGAGCCCTGGGCAAGTGAATGTCTCCAGACATCACTCCCACTCCACTCATTAGTTTCCCTTTCCAGAGAAACCTCTCCTTTTTGCCACCAAAAGTAGATTACATCCAAAAGTTCTCCACAAGCTTAAAAAAGAAAAACGGAAAATTGAGAATCATTGCACAGAAGAGTCCACAAAAGCTACAGCAGCACCAGGGGCGCAGCAGCAGCAGCAGCAGCAGATCCAGGTAAGACCCTGAAGAAGGGGAGACATTTAGGGCCCCCCAGGCCCATCACTTAGGGGTTCAAATCTCTTTCAAGTACCCAATTTTTGTGGGATGTTTCTGGTTGGCTACAGTTTGATGATGATAGAGGTTGCTTGGTAGTTTGGGGGTTTTGATTTGTTTCCAAGAAAAAGGAAAATGAGAAAGGAGTAATGGTTAAGCGGGGAAGCCCAGTGGGAGGGAAGCATAAGGAACAGAGAAGTCCTAACAGGGTTTCTGGGGTACTCAGTTTATATAGCATTGACTGTCCTCCTCTCAGGCTGTAGAGCCACAAGCAGGATGGTGGACACACACACACCCCAAAATAAAACCTGCTGTTTGTCCAGCCAATGGTAAGATCACCACAGGCCTCTCCAGGATGGACTCTAGCAGAGCCTTTTGTAAGGAAGGACTGGAGGATCTGGGTGGGTGGAACATCTGGCTTCTCTCAGCACACCACATGTCCCCCACCTTTGGTTTGAGAAATACCAATCTTTCAAATCCCAACTAGAAGACCAGCGAGGAGAAAGGGAGAAAGTACACCCATTTAATTCACTTTCCTTTTCTACAAACATATCTATGCCATTATATGGAGCTGAAAGACTTTAAAGTGTGTGTGCAAACCTTTTAATACTGTCCGATGGACCAAATCGGGCTTTTTAGTCTTTAGTACTTACCACTTCCACACTCTCTTCTCTTTCTCCCATGCTGAAAGGGTTAAATGAAAGGCTTGGTGGACAGGCAACTTTCATTCACCCCAAAACCCTCCTAAAACACTGGAAAGTGAGGAACTTCTAGCAACAGAAAAGTCTGTTATTTCAGTATCCTAAAGATCTCCTCTCTAGAATCCCTGCTCCCTGCCACTTTATAGCGAAAGCTTTTTTTTTTTTCCCCCCTAGTTGGCAGACTGGTAGCATAGTGGCTAAGTCACTTGCCTGCTAACCAGATAGCTGGTGGTTCAAACCCACCAGCCACTCCTCGGAAGGAAGGTTGGGCAATCCTACTTCCGTAGTGATACTGCCTCGGAAACCCAAGGAGGGGTCACTATGAGTCGGGGCTGACTCGACGGCACATAACAACAAAGTTGGCAGAATATTTATTGATGTCAAAAAGGAATGCCAGAGCTTCAGGTGACTGACTGGATTTTTCAAAATGCAATTTTATATATGTATATATGTATATGTTAAACAATGTTACACAATCTGAGCCTTTCACTGACACCCCAGAGAAGAGTGTGATCTGTCAAGTATCTCCTAATGTTGATTTGTTTTCCACTTTTCTCCTAAAGAATTTGCAGAGACAGGTTGCAAATCCTGTACAGTTTAGGGAAAAGTTCCTTGGAGTTTAACAGCTTAACAAAGCTGTCATTTTCAATACAACCGATGGCTTTTTATTTTTTTCTTTAGCTCTTGCATATGATTTGAGAGGTGGCTCAACAATTCCAGCTACCCTGACTGCACCGCCAATATCAATATTTTAAAACTAAATACAAAAGAGACAGGTGACCTCCTGACCCCAGGAAGTAGGCCTACAAAACTGCAACAATTCACTACACTGTGCCCAAGGCCCTCCCTTCTTCCAAAGAAACCACAAACATCATACTTGTGCAGCATGGAACACATGACTTTTATATCTACAGGTAGAAACAACAAAAAACTCA